CTGAACAAACACCCCTCTCAGCTTTGTTTTATGCTCATTTAGCTAAACAGGTGTAGCAACACATGCTACTTCTCTCTCATATACTGCTTTTAAGACAATATTTTAGTATGTTTAATTAGGTATTAGTTTGATTAATTTATAAATTGGATTAATTAAAATAACTTTGTCTAGTGCACAATTTATTTTAGCAGTACTTCTAGGTTATTTTTATAAGTTATTTTAACTAATTTACTTTTTACCTATAAGTTATATCTTTTTTACTTTTTACATTTTTATCTTCATTCAAATAATTAAATATGTCTTTTCATATGTTGTTTTACATTTATAAGTCAGCTTATTGACTAATATATCAAACACTTTTAGTTTAACTGTTTAAGTTATAAGTTTTTGGCTATTTAGTCCCTAACTTAAATTATATAAGTTTCAATTAATTTATAAGTTCTGAGTCAATTTATATATATGCCTGTTTTGCCAAATACACTATTAATCTTTGGTTAAAATTTAGTGCAAATTACAAAATCATGAGTAGGAACTTGTTAAAAAGCAAGATTTACATAATTTTTTTAAATTTTTAAATAAATTTTAATCAACATAATTGAAAATGTACTTAAAAAATGAGTTGTTAGTATTTCTTATTCAACAAATGTTGAATTTCTTATAAAACATAATTGGCATTTACAAATTAATTACTAGAGGCTAAGCTGATTTTTATTTATTTTTTATTTGCTTTTATGTTTTGAAGGCTGGAATTCCGGATGGGGTGCTCAATGTAGTACCCGGATTTGGTTCGACTGCAGGTGCGGCAATATGCTCACACATGGACATTGACAAGGTAACTTAAATGTCAAGCATTTCGAAGTACCATGATCTAAACAAGAGTTTAATGGTTATCCAAGGAAAAAGTTTTACACAGTTAAATAATAAAAAAAATTATTATTTGTATGAATTTTGAGCTAATTATGATAGAAGTCAATAAATTTTTATTATAAATGATAAATTATGATTGTATGAAAGTATAAAATTGTTTTATGCTATGTATGCATAGTCTTTTTTTTCTTTTCTTTAAATAAAAAGACTTTTCGTTGATCTATTGTGGAAAGCTAAATTTGTGTGAAGACATATAGTCATTGATCCCAAAATTTAAACATGCAAGTTGTGAAAAAAGTATTGACTTAATAGTGATTTGTGGATGTGTAGGTCAGCTTTACAGGTTCAACAGAAGTGGGGCGAGAAGTAATGCGTGCTGCAGCCAACAGTAATTTGAAACCTGTTTCACTTGAATTAGGAGGCAAGTCACCCCTCTTAGTTTTTGATGATGCTGATGTAGATACAGCTGCTCAGATTGCTCTCTTGGGTGTCATATTTAATAAGGTGGAATTTTTCTTCAAATTTAATTCCACTTTACAATGTAGCCCGATTATATACATCTAACAATTTTTTCCCTTGTTCATTTCAGGGAGAAATTTGTGTTGCGGGTTCAAGGGTGTTTGTTCAGGAAGGAATCTATGATGAATTTGAGAAGAAATTGGTCGAGAAAGCAAAAGCTTGGGTGGTTGGTGATCCTTTTGATCCTAAAGTTCAGCAAGGGCCTCAAGTAAGAATTGAGTAATTTTTTTTTGTTCATAAAAATTATGACAATAGTAATAAAGTTTGAATTTAGAATTTTGTGCATATTATTTCAATTTCTTCATTATTAAACTGACTCTAATAATTACTAAGTAGTGGGCTAATTATTGAAAAAAAATGAAAGTTGTAAAAAATGAAAACCACTTTTCTCAGCTATTGTTTTCTTATTATAGGTTAACAAGAAGCAATTTGAAAAAATTCTTTCCTATATTGAGCATGGAAAGAGAGAAGGGGCCACCCTTTTGACAGGGGGCAAAAGAATAGGCAACAAGGGCTACTACATTGAGCCTACAATTTTCTCCAATGTTAAGGTGCATTTTAACTCCACAAAAGTATGGAATAAGGTTCATTCAAAATAATTGGATAACTAACTATTACATTGTCTTTATCTTTTTATTCATGATATCTTGTTTAGGAGGACATGCAAGTAGTACAAGATGAAATATTTGGCCCTGTCATGGTATTGAAGAAGTTTAAGTAAGTTATTATACATTTATTTATTTGTTGCTAATATATAGCAGTACCAAAAGCAAGTGTTTGTGAGTTTGTTCATGATTCAAGAATAATGTATATATAAATGAACAACAGGACCATTGAGGAAGCAATTACAAGTGCTAACAACACTAAATATGGCCTAGCATCAGGAATTGTGACCAAGAATTTGGACATAGCCAACACTGTGTCAAGGTCCATTCGTGCAGGCATTGTTTGGATAAACTGCTACTTTGCCTTTGGGGATGACATTCCTTATGGAGGGTACAAGATGAGTGGATTTGGAAGGGATTTTGGATTGGAGGCCCTACACAAGTATCTTCAAGTTAAATCTGTTGTAACTCCTATTTACAATTCTCCCTGGCTTTGAATATCTTTTTGTTTTATGCAAGTATAAACAATAGTCAATAATACAAGAGCTTTTACACATACATTTAATCAAAGTAATAAAATAAGGGCATAACATGTTATTGATGTTGGTGGAAATTTGTATCAACAATTTAAATGAAATTTGATATTTTCGAAATTAGTAACTTCTAACAATAATTGATATTGAAGTGTGTGCTTTTCAGGAAATTAACAACAAAATTTTCAACTTAGATTGATTTTATGTTTAGAGATTATATAAAATATTAGATATTAAGTATAAAATATTTATCATAAACAATTTGATAAAATAGTATAAATAAATATGAATAAATTAACAAATACGACTTAAAACAACTGCTATTTTATTTTTTATTTAATTATCGATAAAAATGACGCTAAACATAAATAAATACATGTATTTTAATATTTATAAACATATTACGTTGATTTTATTCATTAGTGTATACAATATTGTTATATTTTGGGTTTTAAACATATTTTTGAATTGAGATTTTATACTCTTTTATTTTTTATTTTTTTGAAAAAAAATGGATTTTAGAAGATTGTTGTTTGACTAAAAATTGTCAAGCAGAAAATAAAATAGTTAAGTGTTTCTTTTTTTTTTTAGTAATTTTTTTTTCTCAAAGCAAGGTATCATATGCTTGGAAACTACGAGACTAATCTCTCAAAGAAAATAAAATATCAGTTAAGGGGGTAACTTCCCTTCCTACTAGTTATAACTTATAAGTATTATTCTATTCACAAGTTCAAGAATTGAACACTTATCATGTGCTTATAAAGGATTCAAGTTACTAGCTGTTTATGTCACACCTTGTGGGATTATACATTAAAAATTTAGATTAGGAAAATATATGATCTATTACAAGGCAAGGGAAAATGAAAATGTGATAATAAACATAAAATATAGTATTCACTACATAAAATAAGTCCTCAAATAACAATCTAATTGTTGAAGTGTTTCATTGGAAAATGTTTTAACATGGATATCAACATATTTTTCTTTTAATAATAATAATATTGATATGAAGTGTTTATTGATTTTATTAATGATTAATTTTGTGTAGCCACTATTCAATTACGTTACTTGAAATCAAAATTTTACTTAAAAGGATTGAGTTTAATGTCATTTAAACCAATAATTTATTGATACATTAATGTGAACTTTATTTTTAATTGTTAGTACATATAAGATAATTAATTGATGAAACGTGTATTTTTTTCATATTAAAACTTTATTTTTAAAATTATTTTATTGTGAATTAATTATATTAAAAATTAATATTTAAAGGTCAGATTAATTAATTAATGAATTTATTGGGCTATTATTTCTATTATATGAAAAATAAGACTTTACCTAAAATTTTATTAATATTCAAATTATACGAGTGGACATTTGTTTAACATATGATAAAACTATTTCATTAAAAAATGTACCAATATACTTTTTTCCCTTAAGTAATGGTATTGTTTTTCTTACTTATGCCATTATTTAATTAATTTATTACAAATACCTATTATTTATTATTTTAAATTATTTCTTTCATACTATCAAACATGTGGATCAATTGATGCAAAGTTATTCAACTTAACTAGTAGTTTTGAGTTTGAATCCTAAGTATATAGTTATATACGTATTCAAAAGAAGAGTTTTGTTACTTGTAATGGTCCTAAAACTAGTGTGTTAAGGACATTTCATATCGGGTATTTAAGACATTTTATGTCAGATGTGACATAAATCTTAATAACATAGAATGTTCGCTTATTTTATGATGGGTCAACACGTGACATAAAAATTTACTTTCTATATCAGGTGCTCAACGCTTATCATAGTAGGAAATACAAAACATGGTGATTTGATACATTGAAACCCATATTTTATGGTGAGTGTGATATTACTCATTATAAAATGTGCACATTCTCTGGTAAGTGTGATGTTATCCGTTATAAAATGCATTTTTTTTAATATCCGGTTTGTTTTATGAATTTTTCAAAACCTGTATAATAGAAATACATTCTAGTACATTTCAAGCAATTCAAATCAACATATTGTTGTCCAATTCAATACTAACCTATATAATATATAATATTTATCATTTAAATTTAAATAATGTATAAATTAAACTTTATGGCAATGAAAGATATAATTAACTATAAAATTAAAGTTAATAATAATTAACATTAATTAATAACAATGTACACAAATATATATGTACCCAAAGGATAAAACTAAAATATAAATATCTAGTCATTGTACACAAATAAAATTAAAACATTGTACACAAATATTATACACATTACAAGTAATAATACAATACATACACTAAAGAGAAGGAGGAGTATCACTTGTGTTGGCCATAGGTCAGTAAAAAAGAAAAATAAATCATGTTAATAATTAAAATAATAACAAATATTATACACATATAACAAGTAATAATATAACACATATGAATATTATAAATTAAACACATTACTGGTTTTAAGTTTGAATATTCTCCCACAATCCTTTATTATGGTCATCACGTGTAACATGTATATTGTCATTGTCGTTGCCCACATTTAACTTACACATACATGTGGAGAAGGAAAGAGTCTCACAAATGTCAAAAGTTGAATCTTTATGGTCTTCAAAACCATACATGTTTTTTCCTTGTAGAATAATTGGCCAATTTTTATTAGCCAGACCAGTAACATAAAACACTTGTTTAATTTGCTTGGTCTATCATTATGAAGGACTCATCTTTAGAACCTTCCTTCTTCAAGTTATAACCAAGGTAAAACTTAGATCACCAGTCTTGACTCCAGGTTACTGTCAACCCATTTTTACACTTAAAAATCACACTCTAAATCTTGTGTAATTAACTAACCATATGTCTTGAATGACTCCAAAGTAACATGAAGAAGTTGTATTTGGGTTAGGGTTTTCAAAAGTTGAGAAATATTGTGACTCAACCACCACCATAATCCCACTGTTTTGCATGGTACTTTTTAGATCTTTCTTTTGGGTAAAAAACGTGTAGTTATTGATATCGTACCCAGTCAAACATGACATCAAAGTTAGGCTCTAATGCTAGGCATTTCAATGTTTCAAAAATTGTATTGCCATTCCCAATTTGGTGCTTGAACCACTTTGACAATGTTATATTATGCTTTTTGCTCAACCGTTTCTCAAACATTCACGAATAAAAAAATAATTTCACCATATCCTTGTGAGTAGTTGGGTAAGGTATAATTTCATTGATGTTATTTAATATATACAAATGTACCTACAACACTTCTTTTCATGTGTAACTCACAATATTTGCACTTTGTAAACCCTTACCAACAATTCTTTCATGATGATGGGACTTAGGTACCTCTATAGCTTCAACTTCCGATAGGTATTCGATACAAAATTAAATAGCTTCCTCTACAATATATCTTTCAACAATTGATGTTTTTGGATGATGTTTGTTCTTCACATACCTTTTTAATATCTTCATGTATCACTCAATTGGATACATCCACTGTAAGAACATCAGACCAAAAAATCTTACATGCACAATTAAGTGAATCATGATGTCAAAAAATGATGGAGGAAAAAACATTTGTAATTGACACAATATAAGAACTACTTTATTTTTTTAACTCATCCAACATTTTATGATCAACTACTTTACTATAAATTGTGTTAAAGAAGAAGCACAATCTAGTTATGGCATATGTAACATTCTTAGGTAATATGTCCCGAATTGCCATAGGGAGTAATTGTTGCATCAATACATGACAATTGTGAGACTTTAAACCTAGTAATTTAAGATCTTTTATTGAGACAAACCTTTTGACATTGGAAGAATAACCACTTGGAACCTTCATACCCTGTAAATACTCACAAAAACTTTTATTTTCTTTTTTAGACAACGTATGACATGAAAATGTTTGTTTACCATGAGCCTGCGGAGCTAATTGTTTTCTTATATCCACGTCAACCATATCTAAATGAGCATTTACATCATTCTTTGTCCACCCCTGAATGTTACGAAGCGTTCCAATAACAATGTCACAAACATTTTTGTGAGACCCTACTTCCCCTATTCATTTTTTTTCTCTCCCCGACACCCCCTTCTCCCACTCACTCTCCATTTCCCTTCACCCTTACTCTCCTTACTCCTCCCTCCTCACTTCACTAATCTTTCTCCTTGGGGTGTGAATTCAAGGTGCTGTTTCGGGTGTTGAGGACTAACTGAGGCGTGGGTCACTTTCTTCTTCGTGGAGCTTTTCCCCTTCTTCTCCTTTTCTCATTCCCGGAAGTTGCGATCTTCATTTTGAGGTAAGGGAAGCTAGTCATTTGGTTTTTCTGGGGTTGAAACGAGTTCTACGAACTCTTTGGTGGTTGAAAATGAGTGATTTTATTGGCTGAGCTGCTGAAACTTTGGGGGTTTTGTGGTCTTGAATCCAAAGTTTGATTTTCTCTGATTTGTGGTTGCATGCATATAAAGCTGGTATCTTTGAACTCCTTGATGAAAATGTGACATTTTGATCCATTTGCATGTTAATTTTCTGTTAAGATCTGCAGGATTGTTGTTCAAAAATGGTGGAGGGATTGTGTTCGCTGTCGCAAACGGCTGAGCCGTTTAAAGGCGCTGAGCGCTTTGGGGGCAGAGAGCCCCTGGAACCAAACGGCTGAGCCGTTTTAAGGCGCTGAGCGCTTTGGGGGCAGAGAGCCCCCTGGAGCCAAACGGCTGAGCCGTTTTAAACCGCTGAGCGCTTTAGAGGCAGAGAGCTAGAGGAGAATCTCTGGAGGCAAAGCGCTGAGCGCTTTGGAGGCGCTGAGCGCCTTTGTACTTTCAGAATTGGACTTTGTAGTCTTCATGAAAGTTGTAGCCTTGGATGTTAGCTTTCCAATGGCGCTGGAATCACTCAAAAAGGAGTTTTAGAACTCCAGATATGGCCGTTTTAGTGAAGAGGGGTCAAGCTATCAGCATTAGTTATAGCTGTTTCGGTTTTTAAAATTTTTCACATGGTAGATGAAGGAATTAGGATTTGGGGTCTTCCTGAGAGTTGTAGGAAATTTTCTTATCATTAATATGATATAAGGATGAACATGATAGAAGCATTATGACTCTAGATATTCTATAATTAGTAATGGTTGTCGTTTTACAATGAGTGATTATGATAAGTTGAAGGTTGTTTTGGATGTGTTTTTTTTGAATATGCTGATTTATGCTGACTAATATTGATTAATGCTGTTGAGCCAAGCTGAGTTGTATGATGTGTTGAAATGTTGTGCTGTGCTGTAATATGCCATGTTGTACTATGTTGAATGGTGTGGTGTTGTAGCCGTTAAGTCGGTGCTGTTGTTTGCCACATACGTGGTGCTGTAATAACCGCTAGCTGGTGCTGATATGTGCCTAATTGAGGGGCCATTATAACCACTTGAGGTGGTGCTGTTGCTGTTGCTGCTGCTAAGCAGTGTCGATGTAGCCGCATCGCGGTGCTGATATTGCTGAATAGTATGAGCTGTGCAAATGTGCTATTAAGTATGAGCTGATATTACTATGCATTTAATTATAGGTTGATTTTTAAAGTATACTAGCTTACCCTTTGCTGTTTTCCATGTTGTTGGACTGCGATGATCATATTATGTATGGGAGTAGAACAGGAATAGGTGGGCGTCTTGGGATGAGTCTCCGACGGACCTTGGAGCTGTTTTGCTTGTGTGGATATTTTGCTTGTAGCTACTTGGGATAGTAGCATTTGGTTGTAATTTTCTTTGGTGCACTTTAACCCTAGTCAGACCAGAACTTTGTATATTTATATATTCTAGATCCTATATTTATATACTTGTTCTATATGTCTGGAGTTTCTAGTGTACGATGTCGTGTGTAGTGACTAGCCGGGTCGTTACAATTTTTCTCCACATGCATGGCATCTATACAATGTTTGACATCAAGTATTTTCCAATACGCTAGTTAATTAAAAAAATATTGACATTTTCTTCCATATACTTTTCACAATTGGTTGTCTTTCATTTTTCCTAAGTACTACAGTTAAGTTATTCACCCATTCATAAATTTGGTCACCAATTAAGGGTGTTGGAGCTACTTCATTTTTCTAAAGACCATTAAATGTTTTCTTCAATCTACACCAAGAATGATTATGACTAAGAAATCTTTGACACCCAAAGTAAACTAGTGTCCTTCCATGATACAATTGATGGTGACATGTGTCATTTTTACATATAGGACAAGCTTTGTGTGCCTTAATACTATAGTCAATTAAGTTGTCATAGGCAGGAAAGTTATTGATTGTGCAAAACAATATCACACGCATGTTAAAAGTTTTGCCAAAAAATATGTCAAACACGTCAACTTTTTTTTCCACATCCTCAAGTCCTCAACCAAGAGACTTAGATAAACACCAATATCGTTTCCTGGTTGTCTTGAACCCAAAATCGTCATATATAACATCACATATTTATATTGCATGCACAACCATAAAGGTAGGTTGTAAATCACTATCAAGACAGACCATGAATTATGTTTACTACTTAAGTTACCATATGGATTCATTCCATATGTAACAAGTCTAAGCCTCAAGCTTCTTGGATCATTGCCTAATTCTATAAACATAGAATCTATTTTTTTCATTCCAAAGATTCATAGAAATGTGTGCATTAGAAAGAAGCGGGCTCAAGATCATGAATCATGTTCTCTAGCCGACCATCCATCTCTAAATCAATTTTTTTTTTGTGTCTGTGAAACTTCTACATGTGGCATGTCTAACAATTTATTATATCATGTCCATATCGTATAGCCTTTGAAAAACACATCAAACAAAACATGTTCTCGTATAATGTTTATTGGTTGCCTTTGCAAATTGAAATAATTAACACACAATGACAATAGAATCTTCCATTACTATCTATAACATTTCTTTGTACAAACTAAAAAAATTCTTCCACTTCATTCTTATATTAAACACTTATGCATAAATAATTTATCCAACTCTGATCCATCACTATGTTCGTTTGACATAAATAATGTCAACATCACTTTTTAATACAAGGTGTCTCCCTACACATTCAAAAAGATAATTTTTGATACTTAATTAACACATAAAGGTAAAGTCTCTTACATTAAATTTGACAAAATTTTAACAATATTTTGCATTGATCTCTAAGTACACAAAATGAAGTGCTAATATCAAATTCATTATAGTCAAGTATGCACCTAAAAAACTACAAGAAACGCAGTTAATCGAAATCTTATTAAATTTAAAACGAGACTTAACTTTTATACATATATTAATCAACTATAAAAATATATTTCTTTTTAAATTTTCCAAACGAACAATTTAAGATTCAACACAATGATTATACATTAATTATATAACCATTGTAATCAACTTCAAATGAAAAATTAAGGTTCACTGACATATATTGATAATTATGAACATTATGGGTGTATACATGTAGCATTACTAAATTTTGTTAAATTACTCAAACATATTTTAAGAGAACAATATAAAAATTCATTATATCTACTAAAAAATCTCTCAAATGAGTTCCAAAAAAGTCACATTAATCATTAAAACAACTCTATTATAAACGCAAAAAAAAAAAACCACAATAGGGGATAAAGAAAACCTGACTGTAAAGATAAAAATCTCTTTATCGATCAAAATCAGTAAGATGGTTGAGGAGGGAGAAATTTTTAGCTGCAAGTAAATGAATCTAGTGAAATCGAACTAATCAATTATAATGTAACTAAAAATCTAGAAATTACAGTTAAATTGAAATTAATAGTAATCATGACTTAAAAAATTAAATAAATAAATAAAGGTGTGCTAAGCAGCAAAACTATTCACTCAAACGGAAAAAAAGAAGGTTACAAAATTTCATCCATAGAGGGAAGTTCTACTACTCTAATTCACACAATGATATATATTATTGTGGGACAAATTCAGAATCTATTTTATCGCACTTTTTTTATTTCTAAAAATCTTAAGATAAGGAAGGAAATATCTATTATGTTTTTAAAAGAAAATATAATTATAATTATTTGGTGAAATATCTCTAACTTTATTCATTTTATGTTAGTTAGCTAGTTTTAATATATTATTTAATTATTTTTTATTTTTATTATTTCTTTTAGCATTTTATATGTGTTAATTGTGTGGTCTTTGTTTATTTTATGAATATTAAAAAAAAGCTGGATCGAAATTTTGCAATTGAAAAAGAAGAATGGATACGTGTACGATGAGGAAAGAAAAGGAGAAAGCTGAAATGACAAGTTTCAGACTTATCTAGGAATAAATTGAATCTCATTTATCCAAGAACCACAAAACACCAAGAATTCCACATTTTACTTCTCAAACTCAACAAATCAAAGCTATCATTGAGCTAGAACAACTAAGAATCAAAACATCCAACTCAACAAGTTTAATCTGAGTTTCCCTTACTTCGAATTGTTCAGGAATGGGAAAAGGAAAGGAAAAAAAAAGAGAAATCCCAAAATTCTTCATATGACAAATCTTCAAGATTTTCAACACCAAGATTTTGAATCTTTAATCTAACATCACTACTTAGATAGAATTTTAATACTCTTACAAAATCTGAAAGAGTAAAGGGATCTCTTAGACTCCAAAACCTATCTTTTTAAAATTTTTAAGAAAATTAATAAATCATGAAATTTAACTCTTAAGAAAATTTTATACACATCTCCTAAAACTTAGCTAATAATGCCTCAACATACAACAACTCCTAAACAATTAAACTTATACAAATTTCTTAATTTTTAAAATTTTAAAACATTAAAACAACAAATCATATAAATTATATACTTAATAAAATTAATTAAACAATAATACAATTTACAATGTTACAATAATAATATATAAAATGTTAAATTTAAAAATTTATGATTATTTAACTATTTAAAAAGTTATATACGTTTATCTTATAATTTTACCGGTCATAAAAAAATTACATGTCAAATATATAATTCTCGTTTTCCCGTAATAACAACAGTTCTCATCACATAAAATTGTTGTATTTAAAATTTATGCATCAATAATGTAAAAAAAAAAATCTTACAAATCTACCAAAAATTATGACGAAACTAAATTTAAAATAATTATTATAAATTATTTTTCCATGTATGATAATTTTAACTAGATTATTGTATAAAAACATGGTAAACTATTAATTAATTCTACTTACTCTAAATTAGTTAACTATTTGGAGCTGGATTTAGCAAAGAAACTAGTTTCCACAACCAAAATTTGAATCCTCAGTGAGTAAAATGTTTGCATTTAATACAAGCGTATCTCGAATAAAAATTCTCTAAAAGATATATGTTTGAAAAAAAAAAAGTATATACAAATGGAATATGGAACAGATATAACCTTACCAAACTTGTTTTAAAAATGAACTATTTATCACGTGTGGTAATAATAAACCTAAATTATTATGATATAACCGTTGTTTCTCATATATATATATATATATATATGTGTGTAATGGTAATGGATTAGCCACTTTGATAACTGGTCAGTTCCCTTTGTCCTCAATTTTCTTTGTCGGACTGAGACACCTAAGATGACTAATCTCAACACCGTCAAGTTCACCAAGCTCTTCATCAATGGAGATTTTGTTGATTCACTTTCAGGTTCTTTATATATATTTTTCACCAAAACCCTTTTCTCTTTCTATTCTTTAATTTCCTTTACTGCATGCCCTTCACTTTATGTTCTTTCTTTCTGGGTTACCCTGCTCCCTCTTGTTCATCCATTTCTGCAAATTTTCCCTTCTTTTCGCATACACTAGATGAAATGTCACAACTTAACTCCATATAAAGTTCATAAGGAAAACTTGTCTTGTTTAGGGTTAATGGTTAAAGGAAAATTAATTAGTGAATTGATGTATCATGTATGCTTTGGATCGATTTTCAAACCTTTGCCTTAGTGGTTATTCTCAGACAATCGTTTTCTTTTCTTTATTTATTTTTAATTATATGAAATTAAATTATATTTTTTTCCTTTTATTTTTTTATTAATATATAATTTTAATGTTTTTATTTTAAAATTAGTCTTCTTAATTTAAAAATATATTTTATTATTAATTTAATATTTATTAATTATTAAAATTTAATATTATTTAATAATATGTTACTATTTATATGACATGATATTTAATAATATAATATATATAAAAAATAAAAATTAATATTAAATTTTTTTATTTATCTTTATTTTAATAAATTAATAAATTTTATTTATATATATTTTTAAATATTTTTTACCTTCAAATATCATATTATTTAATATAACATTATTTATTTATGAATTAACCGTTAAAATTTAATAATTAATATATATTAATTTGATGAGAGAATGAATTTCATATTTTTAAGATTTGAAAGAATAAATATCCCTATTTAAAAATATAAGAATTAAAACTATAAAATGATGAAAAAAATTAAAAATGTAATTTAATTTAATATTTATTTAATTTATATTTTTAACTTCGAAAATAATCATGATATAGTTGCTTTCTGCGTTCATTTAATAACTTTTTTATTTTTAATTTAGTATTTTATAGTATATATTTTTTTATCCCCTCTGGAATATAATTAGTGAGGGAACGTGAATAACAAGATTAGGCCGATTCCGTTGTCGACAATATATTATTTTTCTTTCTTTTCTCAGAGGATAAAATAAAGTTAATCGTGACTCATGAGTGATGGCATAAGCGACCTCTAAAGTTATTTGTTTTTTAATGTCTTATAAGGAAACTCGGTGTTTTATCTGTGCCTAACTTTATCTTTATTTATTAAAATAAATAGAATAACGATACAATTTTATAAAATTTTCTCGAATCATCCTTCAAATATTAAAATATTAATATTTTTAATAAATATATAATAAAATAATTATTTAATTTAATATTTTATAATTTAAAGTATTATTTTAATTATTCAAAAATGCTTTTCGGAATATTCTTTCTAATATTTTATTATTTTTGAAATAAAAATGTGAAAACAGGAAGGGAGTTTGAGAGCATAGACCCAAGAACGGGAGAAGTAATCGCAAGGATCGCAGAAGGAAGTAAAGAAGACATCGATGTTGCTGTGAAAGCGTCACGTGTCGCTTTTGATCACGGTCCATGGCCTCGTATGACCGGCGTGGTACGTTATCATTCCTTTCTTCATTACTTTTTTAATTTCAAATTAATTATTAAGACCGTTTGTTTTAAATTATCAAAAATCATATTTTCACTAATCATGTAAATATGTTAAAGTTGTGAAGTGTGTGATTCTTGTCATGTCTTGTCACTTGTTCAATAAAAGACCATAGAATGGACAAAATATATTATAAAAAAATATTTTTATTTATTGATAATTTATTTTAAAATATAATATTTAATTTAAAAATTATTATGATAAATAAAAATTAAATTAGATATGAAATTAATATATATATATATAAACTTTTTCGTTGAAGAATTTTTTTTAAAATAAATAAAAATTCGTATTTAATATATCAAAATTAATTATTTTAAATTTTATAATTTGTAAAAAATTATATTAAGACAACATAAAATATAACTAATTTTATCTTAAAATTCAGTTATCTATTCTATCGTGTTGATTTGTTGATAAATTATAAAATCCTTATTTCGCATTTGTATGCCGATGATATCATGCCTTACGTCAGTCTGTATAGAAGCATATTTTCATAGACAGAATTCCCATTTGAAGTGTATATTTTTTTTTTCTTTTTTACATAAACACCAAATTGTCATTTTATTTAAGGCATCATTGGATCAGCACGCCACACCTTCCAAGACAAATAATGCACATTTGCTTTAGAAAAATGCTTTAAACATATTTTCTTTTAGAATATAATAAACCTCTACCCCATTTTGAATGAAATGAAGAGAGAAATAACAGGAAATAAAAAATAAAGAAATAAAATGATAAAATAATAACAATTTGATAGCAAATGTAAAAAAATATATAACAAAAAATAAACTAAAAATTAGTTACCTATAAATTGTTAATTAGGGTGAAAAAATAAATCATGACCCACAAATCAGTGCACAGGCCTATCAAAAATTGGTGATCAGACCATGTATTGTGATTTATCAACTCGTTTTTTTTTTTTAATATTCTTTATTTATTATTTTTAATATAAGTTTAATTAAGTTATTTTATATTTGTTTTGTATATAATATGTGATTTATAGTGTAATAAATTTGTTGTGCATTTGATTTATTTTATTATGTAGATATATTGATTTATATAAGTTTTTTAGATATTAATAAAAAAAATATGTTAAAAAAGTAATTTAAAATGAATATATAAACTTTTTTTTTCTTTTTTTTTTTTGGGCCAGCCTTTAGATAGTGTACTATGATCTGTGATCTATTTTCTTTTGATAGATCATACCAACTTGACTCGTTTTTGACAAGTAGGTCTAAACGATCCATGCCATCTCATTTAATTTGCCATTCCTATTGTTAGTAGTAGTATTGGACTTGGTCCTTTTTACTTAAATGTTGGGTTTGAATTTTATGTATGAAAAGAATATGATTAGAGGGGGATATCCAACTAAAAATAATCAGTTAAATATTCTTCGATACAGATTAGTTAATAATAAAATTAATTGATATGTATTTTATACCAATAAAATGATTAAAAAGAATTAGAAATTAATTATCAGAGAACCTGATATAGGTTCATCAATACTCTTTAATCTATTACGTTAATGGTAAATGCTTCGGCCACTGTTTAAAGGCGGTAGGTTGTCTTGGAGTTGTTTACATTTTTTCCCCCTTTTATCACAAAAAAACTCTTTAATCTTTCTTTTTTTTTTTCTTTGTATTTCTTTTCAATATAATTATATTGTTTATTATATGTATTATTTTAATTCTCTATTTTTATTTTTCATCCAAGTTTTTAAACATTCATAGTAAGACTCACCTGAATTGAGTTATTACTTGTCAATTTTCGTGTTGTTATGCAACACATTGAACTTAACATGATTCTCTCCAAGCAGGAAAGAGCAAGAATCATGATGAAATGGGCAGATTTAATAGATGAAAACGCAGAAGAAATAGCAAAACTGGATGCCATTGATGCAGGAAAGTTGTACCATAGGTGTAAGGCTTTTGAAATTCCTGCAGCAGCAAATACTATACGTTACTATGCTGGTGCAGCTGATAAAATTCATGGAGAGGTATTAAAACCAGCACGAGAGTTCCATGCATATACTTTGATGGAACCAATTGGAGTTGTGGGACACATCATTCCTTGGAATTTTCCTAGCTCCATGTTTGTCTCCAAGGTTGCTCCTTCCTTGGCTGCTGGTTGCACAATGGTCCTCAAGCCTGCTG